TGATGAGATCGGAGAACATGCCCGGATGAGTGAGTCGAGGAACTATGTGATCCTTGTGTGTGATGGTGGTTTACTGAGATGGGGGCCAAAACCTCCATGTTCCATCACAAGGCATGCATATTGATAGATCGTTCGGGAAAGCCAGATATCCACCTTTGCGTGAAGCGTATGCATGTACGAGAAATACCCTTATACGCCATAGAGCTGTGGTCAGGTCGGGGTGACCTTGACTCGTCTTTAGGGGAGAACTTGTAATCCACAGACTGGGATTGCGACCCCTTGATTCATCGACCTGACTTTGGTGACCCGCTAATGACCCCCTACTTGGACTGTGGGTCATGGGAAATACTGGGTCGGTTCGATAAAGCTAGTGTGGTCTGTAGTCCACAGTTGAAGGTGGAGTACCTCATTATTACAGATTGGATTCCTAAAACCATATGGATCATTTTCCCATCATATTAATTTAATTGTGTTCGTTTTATTATAGAAATAATTTTAGTTTTATAATTTGGTTTTTTATGAATATCTCAATATTTTATTTGTGATTTTTGGACTTATAAAAATACAGTTATTGTTCTTACAAAGTTATAAAAATTCAAATATATATTTTAAATTGTTTTATTCAATTTTAAAAATAATAATTTTTTTATAATATTCCATGATGGCTCATAGTACACATGAGCCCACCATGTGGCATGTGGGTGGGGGCCCAGATGTGCCACAAAAGAGTGGCACGCCCTACCCTCTTTGGATTATCTTGTTTGCTTTTAAGATAATGTTAGTTTGATTTGTGGCATATGGTCAAATCTTGGAAGGGATATATTGATCATGGCTTTATCTATTTTGTAGCAAGTTTATTTTAAAGAGATATGGTCAATTTGAATTGATATGGATCTTATCTTATTTATATTTGGTAGTATTTATCTACTCGATATTATTTGACATATCCTTATGGAATATGTTACATGGATCGTATAATTTTATAGAATGCATGATATTTGTTTTATTTAAATATATTGATGGAAAATGGTTTAGGAAAGGGAGATAATGGTTCATGGACCTTCCATAATATTGGTGGTCTTCTATAGAATGGATGACTCATATCTCTCATCCAACAAGTTACCCTTGATCGACGGTCTATGTTCAATCTCGCAAGGCAAGCTGAAGAAAATCAAGCTCTAATCTTATTCAAAGCCTATAAAAAATGATTCTCTATCTAAAAATCTCTACTCCTTATCTCTTGTACTTAATTTCCATCTTTCTCTCTCATATCCCGAAAAGCAGGCACACACCACTTTCTTATGTTTGATCTCTCTCTCATATTGTGAAAGAACCTAAAGGTTTAGGTTATGTAGCTCTTCTCTCCTATCTCTCAAATATGGACTTACGGCTAAGGGTTTTAAAGTTTAGCAAAAAGAGAATCCATCTCTCTCAAACTAAGTTGCTAAGAGAATCCACCTAGGGTTTGAGTTTGTGATCAAAGGGGTTCATGTTTCATGCTTAGCCAAAATTTGTTTTTCGGTTCGAGATTGAAGCTAGACAGGTTGATCCTGTACCATCGGATGGTGGTGATTCGGTGTGGGGTGTAATAAGCCCAGTTGAGGTAATCTCCGGCACACTTCATTTTTGGTTCTTGCAATCTTATCTTTTATTCTCAAGCATAATACAAAGTTGTTTCAATGGCATCAAGTTGTTAAGATCTTGGTTT